GATTGAAAACAAGAAGAATCTGCAGGGTTCAGAAATACCACGTTTTATCGAAACGAAAGATATATAATTACTTTGTGAATGTAAACAACGGACGGAACTCTCTAAGAGAGAAAATTCTTAATTCTTTAAATCGGTCAGTCCAGAAATGTTTCGCCGCTGAGAGCGACAATGAGTAAATAACGATCCGTTATAATAAATATATCGTTTGATTGCTTTCTAATTCGGTTAGTCATTTATTTCGAGGACCAGCAACGTCCTCGGAAAGGTATACTCACTTTAACCTGAGGACTGACCAAGTACAACAAAGGATTCGCCCTGAGTCTTTCACTCTCGTCGATCTGCCTGCGGATCTCTTCTCTCCTCATGCTGCTCAGGACACTGACTTCCTCCCTGGATAGCGGTGCCGTTGCCGTCAATTGAATAGGTTGCGCCACATCCGGCAGTGATTTCTTTCGTTGAAGGGACACTGCCGCCGCCGCCGCCGCCGGCATCGCCTGCACGAAGAAACGGAAACAAGAAACAAAGAGAGAGGTGGCGATCGATTATGCAAAGAAGCCTTATTTATACGGATGCACCGAGCGAGCGTGCCTTAGAGAAAGCCCGTTTCATCAGGAATTCGGCAATCGAAAACGCGCATTGGATTGGACACAAGTTGAACCGCCGTTCGTGATCGAGAAGAATACACCTGGAAATTTTGTTTGTCGACGTGGAAGAGGAGACCTCTTCTCCGCTCGAAACTTATTCCCACATTTCAATTGATAATAATGGGTTAAGGTTAAGGTTCGTTGGTTAGAGTTGGTTGTAAGGTCGTAGCAGCAGTCGTTTCGGCAACGACTTCAATTTGTTTGGCGCGGCATTCGTACGTGTTCATTAGTTACACGAGTTTCGAAGGAGCAGAGAACATAGAATGGGAGGAGAAAGACGAGAAATCCTTGGACCACTTCCAAAACGTGTAATCGCACGTAATATCGGTGCAAAGGCCACGAGTTCTAATCCCAGTGAACGCGACAGATGAGAGTAAAAACCGATTTTTTACTCTCCATTTTTACGTAAAACTGACAACAAGGTGCATCGATTCTTTCCTCAACGTCATTAACCTCTGATCTCGTTACAATCTTTCATGGATCACGATGTTTTTGCTCTTCGAGACGAATTTCGAATCCAACGATCCGACTTACAACTTAGTGTACAAAGTAAAGTAACGATAATCGTGGTAATTCTCGTATCTCGCGAGTCGAAGTTATCCGCACTTCAGAAAGCGTAGAAAAAAATTAGACTGGCGCCGCTGCTTCGTTCGGTGATTAGGTATCATTAATTAGTATTATCGAATATAAATCGGAGTTATCCCTCTTATTTCGTTATTATCAGCCGTTTACGGTTCATCGGGGACTCTGTTTCCCTTAGCCCTGAGAGCTTTCGAGGCCTTTATTTTTCGTGCGCGCCATAAATCGTGGGCGATAGTGTCGCCCGATATCTGGGGAATAGGAGCCCCGGCTTTCAGCCTCGATGCAACCTCCCCTTTTTCCTATCTTTCGTCCCCGCTGTACGCGATATCGAGCCTGGCTTATCGAACGATTTACATCGTACGGATCTCTCGACTCTCCCTCGACAGTCGTTTCTTATCTGTTCACACTTTCGATTTCGTATTGAAATGACCGACGGTTCAAACATATACTCACGTCGTTGCAACTACGACGACTGTCGATACATTGGTTGGTTTCTACAACGTCGTCGGAATTGAATTACTAAAAAAAAAGAACAAAGTCATGTAGCATGACACGCGTTTGATGAGATTGCTCAGCGTTGGTCTTCAGTCGTAGTTACGACGATTCGAGTTGCTCGACCAGATGTCTGAGGGACTCTAATCTAACCGAGACCGAGAGGTCAGGTCCAGCTCGGATTACGAGCTCTACCTAAAAAAGCACCATGCTTGTGAAAGGTTGTCGAGGGCTTTTCAAAGATCTTTGAAAGAATGTTTTCGAACGTGTTCTCTGTCTCGGTTCCATACCTCCACGGGAGGCGTGACGATCCATGACTCCGAGGCCCTTCTGGCCATCAGAGCGGGGCTGCATAATAGCGCTTCTTCTTCCTCGTCCGGCTCCGACCACAACATCCTCCCTTTCGTTTCCAAAGTTTCTCTAAAATTCACCGTATCTGGAGAGCAAGCAGCTCTCGGGAACTCTGCTGGAACCACGACCGGCCGATATCGTTGTTCTTAAAACCGTTTCCTATCTAAACATGTCGATCGCTAACTCTCACTCTGCAGGCTACCTCCAGGAAAAGCTCTTCTCTTCTACAAACGATTCTCTTCCCTCCCAGATGTTCTTTTTGACGGGGGTTTTTGTTTT